GATGGAAGACCAAAAGTTTAGAGCCAGTCAATGTTTTCAGGCAGTTTGTAAATGGCTGTGAGTAACCAAGGGCTCGCGCAGGTTGAAATGCACGAGGTGAGCCATGCCCAGCACCAAAGCTTCAGCTCTTCCGGATGTCATTACTGAATACTGCAATACTGAATCTAAAATAAACTTCCAGAAAGGCCACGGGGTTTCCAGTCCAGCCTTCCACTTTAGGGTTAAAAAAAAAAAGCCATTTGAAAGTGTCCTGCCTGCTGCTTTGCTGGGTGCTGGCTGTGCACAGCGTGCTGGAGAGGTGCTGGGCTGTTTCACTGGCACTGCTGCCGTGCCACGATGGGGCTGCTTGTGTGCAGCCTGATGGGGGCTGTGCTCAGGGTGCTGGGGTGCTGCTGCTGGGCTCTTTCAAAGGGTGCTGGGGTGCCCCTGGGCATGCACAGGGTGCTGGGGTGGTGGTTCTTGGTATGCACAGGGTGCTGGGATGGTGCTGGGATGGTGCTGAGTATGCACAATCTGCTGGAGTGATGCTGGTGTGGTGCTGGGATGGTGCTGGGTATGCACAGGGTGCTGGATTGATGCTGGTGTGGTGCTGGGCTGTGTCACCAGTGCTGGATTGGTTCTGGATTGGTGCTGGGATGGTGCTGTGTATGCACAGGGTGCTGGGGGATGCTGGTGTGGTGCTGAGATGGTGCTGGGTATGCACAATCTGTTGGGATGGTGCTGGGCTGTGTCACCAGTGCTGGATTAGTGCTGGATTGGTGCTGGGATGCTGCTGGATGAACACACACAGAATCACAGAATCACAGAATTTCTAGGCTGGAAGAGACCTTTAAGATCATCGAGTCCAACCCATGTTCTAATACCTCAACTAGATCATGGCACCAAGTGCCACATCCAGTCTTTTTTTAAACACATCAAGGGATGGCGACTCCACCACCTCCCTGGGTAGATGATTCCAGTATTTGACCACTCTTTCTGTGAAAAACTTCCTCCACAGGGTGCTGTGTCACCTTCAAGACCCAAAAGGGGACCGAGCCACACGGCCCTGCAGCAGCTGGACCTGGCCCTGCTCTGGGCTGTTTCAGAATTACAGTGTGTTCTGACAGTGAGGTCCCATCTCAGAGGACTTCTACTGACTCTTCTCAAGTCAGTGGGTGAGGAAAAACCATTTTGAGCAGAGTGAAACAACGCTCCGAAACTCTGTGTGGAATGATCTGACTTTGAGCAGTGACTGCTCTGGATGGTTCCTGAGTTTGGCAATATTTACCTCCCTTTTCACTGGGATCATTGTGCAGGATTTTCTCATTTCTGCACTTAACCTGCTCTAACTCACCTCACAATCCATCTTAAAACAACAGGGAGCCCATGGCTGTGGTATCTTATATTAATACGTGTGAAAACCTTGTTTTCAATGGACTCTACATTTCCTTCCATTAGGTTTAACTACAACTTCTGTAGTTTTTTCCTTTCCATGATATGTTAAAATCAAATCCACGATATTTCCTCCCATTAGGTTCAACTACAACTTCTGTAGTTTTTTCCTTTCCATGATATGTTCAAATCAAATCCACGATATTTCCTCCCATTAGGTTCAACTACAACTTCTGTAGTTTTTTCCTTTCCATGATATGTTCAAATCAAATCCACAATAGCTGCAGGTTGTGGTCACTGGGTGCTCCCTGGGAGGCAGATGGTTAATTAGAACAAAATTACTTAAGAGATGACAACCTGATGGTCAATTATTAGAAGATGTGGAGCATTAGTGGTTTCCTGCTGACTAGGGGAGGCTGGCTAGATCACTGGAATTACAGCATATCTTCGGATGTACTCATTTAAAACAATTAAAGAAAGGAAAAAAAAAAAAAAGAGTTGCAAATTACTCATAATAGAATGTGAGAAGAATGAGATCAGCATCTCTTTTTTCTCCACTACAAGATGATCTCAAGATTCAAGAACAGGCAGTTTCCTGTAAAGACCACACAGCTATTATCACAAATGCCCTCCCTCCCTTCAACAATGACAAGAAAGTTTCTTGTGAACTTTTATTAGTGCTCTGTCCCCACATCCCTTCCAACATTCAGAGGACTGACTTTATATCTTTTTATATGAGATCTTTTATATTTATGTATGAGGATTCCTGTGCTCTATTTTCAGTTGAGTCACTAATCTGAACACTCAGAGAGCATCACTTCTCATCAGGGTCTGAGCACTAACACAAATATCTGCCTGATAGCAGATATCAACTGTCTTATCTGAAGAGGTTTTAGTGAGCAGGGGCAGAGGCAGCAGAGGTGGAAACCCTCCCAGCCAGACTCTCACCTGCAGCAAAGGCAGATTTGGGTGCTGCCATGCTGAGGCACTGGAGGAGGAGAAGCACACAACGTGCAGGGTGCTGCAGGGTGCCACATGAGGGTTTGTTAAGGGTTGGTGATTTTATTTCTGCACAAAGCAGCACACGATGCCTTCGTGCCCCTCACAGGCTGCAGCTGCTCTGGAATCACAGAGCCCCAGAGTGGTTTGGGTTGGAAGGGAGCTCCAAGTCCCTCCTGTTCCACCCCTACCAGGGGCAGGGACACCCCTCACTGGATCAGGATGCTCCAAACCCCGTCCAAGCTGGCTTTGAACATTTCCAGGGATGGAGCAGTGACAATTTCTCTGGGAACTCTATTCCAGTCCCTCACCACCCTCACAGAGAAGAATTTTTTCCCCATGTCCCATCTAACCCTGCTCTCCGGCCATGTGAAGACATTCCCTGTGTCCTGTCACTTAAATCCTTGTCTAAAGTCCCTCTCCAGCTCTTTTGGAGCCCCTCTGGGCACTGGAAGGGGCTTTGAGCTCTCCTTGGAGCCTTCCCTTCTCCAGGCTGAGGATTTGGAAGGGAGGAAAACTGATCAGACCAGTTAGAGGTCAGGAAAGGGGGACAAGCAGAGGCAGATAAATGTGCTGTGATGTTGTGATGCTTCCAAGCTCCCCTCCATCACTGGAAAGCTCTGGCTGGGCCCTTCCCAAGGCAGATATGGGGCTCTTTGTCTTTTAAATTGCATCAGAAAAAAGGGGGAATTGTTTAAGCTTGCACTGTTATAACAAAAACTGGGAATGCTGAAAACTGGGAATGACTACGACCATTTCCACTCCTTCAGAAAGAGCAAGGGAAAGCCAGGTGAGCGTGAAGAGATGAGGGTAAGAATTTTTAAAATTGTCTTCCTAAAGTTATAAACACCGAAGGACATGCTGAAATATGAAATATGAAAATATTCAGCTATGGGGAAAGAGAAGGAAATACCTAGAACTGTTGCAACAATGAATGTGCCAAGTTTAGAACATCTTTAAGTCATCCTCACTTTCTGGAATTAGATTGTGCAATTTTTTTTTTTTTCCTAGCAAATAAATGAGTTTTTGTTTTTGATGAAGAAACACTAGAGCTCCCTTCTATTACACTCTGAAAGAACTACAAAAGTGAAATGTGGAACTCGTTCTTCCATGCCAATGATTAGAAGCCCAAAATACATCTGTTCCACATGAGCAGCTTCAGCCTCTGCTTTCACAGAAGAACAGCTATATTTGTACTTACTCTAAATGCATTCCTGTTGATTTCATTCTTGTGTATTCTAGCACGTAAAGTCAGAAAAAAGGTCACTATCTGGATTAAAACCAAGCTGCAAGTGTCCATATTTTAAGGGGAAAATGCAGCAATATTAAGCTGAATCTGCATATTTGATTAGCAGTGATGCACAAGCATCAGAACTCACCACAACACAGGAGCTGTAAAGACAGAGGCTGCCCATCAGAGCGTCAGAACAACTGCTTGCATTTACTGCCTGGCCTTCTGAGCTCCTTTACAGCTGTGAAGAACTTTTAGGGGCCCAATTTGACTTTTTTAGCAGTTTTTACTGCCATAGCTGCTGCAGAATCCAGTTTACTTGCAATTAGTTTTCAGAATCTCAATTCCTGGTTGATTTCCCCCCCAAATAGTTAATAACCGTCTTAACTCCTGAAATCTAGGTGGCACTACAAATTATTAAGTGAATTTAAGTTTTGGGGAATGAGTTATGAAGGTATTTTAACCTGTGTTGCGAATTCATGCTTGAATTCCACTACTGTTCCATTGGAATTCTGCACTGAGTTCTTGAGAACAAGGATAATTTATGTACAAGAATGCCTTAAAATAAGCCCCCATAATTACAAAAATGCAGTGTTTAAATTTATAGTAAAAACCCACACACTGCTGGCAAAACTAGAACTGCATCTGGAAAACATTAAGAATGCTATTAAAATAGTCTAGCATAAACTAGAAATGAGACTGAAATTACAGTGTTGCTTACTTAACCATTTTTAGGAAGTGTATTTTGAATATGATCTACTTTCCTATTTGATTTTTTGATAAAGCACTGTACTATGTCTTATTTACCAGTGAGAATACCTTACTTACTCTGTTGTCTATTTCAGACAAATCCATGGCTCAGATTTTTTAAAGTGTCTTGTTACAGTTGTTGATAATTTGAAACACAATCAGGTGGTTGCTGGTCCAGCTATCAGGAAAAAAGGTAACAGGGATATCTCAAAGGAGAATAAAAATCACAGCAATTAAAAACTTATTTTATTAAAAAGATGAAATGTTTTCAACCATTGAAAAATTACGTTTTTATAAAAACAGAAAATAGGCAAAATACCCATTTGTCTTCTATTTACATATACAATATTTCTCATTGTATAAAATTATTTACAATATATAAAAAAATTACAGTAAATAGGTTATTTTCTTACAAGACATCAAGCCCTGTACTTCTAGTGTAGATCATGGCAAACAAGAATACTATTGCACCTGTGAACCAAACAGTCTAACAAGAGGAGTGTTCTCTTAGCCATGCCTTCAACTGAGATCTAAACTAACATCGTTAGCTACAGAAACATTCATTTTATCTCTTCTAGGGTCAACTTCAGGCAGTTTCCATACAAACATTGTCTTGTAAAGCTTAGGAACGGGCAGTTAGAATGGGGGGGGGAAATAAAAAAACATATTTACAGCTTCTTCTATACAATCTGTATGGAGTCTTAGGGAGTTTACCCTTCACAGAAGCTGCATAAATTAACCCCTGTCCTCCTTGCTGACCGGGACGGGCAGGTCCCTGCCTGGGGCACGGCCGAGCATCCTCGCGTGGGATCCTCCGCGTCCGTCCTGGCGCGTCGGGCGGTGCCTTCCCTGTGTAGTACCAGCTACAGATTCCTCACCCCTGTGCACCTGAGCAGTGAAACACGGTCCCGCCGGCGGCAGGGTGGGCTACATGTGCCGCTTCATGTGCAGGGCCAGGTGGTCCGAGCGGGAGAAGGCCCTGTCGCACAGGTGGCACTGGAAGGGCCGGTGGCCCGTGTGCTTGCGGTAGTGCCGGGTGAGCTCGTCCGAGCGCGCGAATTTCCAGCCGCAGCCTTCCCAGTTGCAGTGGTAGGGCTTCTCACCTGTTTGGGGAGACGGGACAGCGTGACTCAGCGTGGCATCACACACCGGGCAACCTGCCGGGGTTTGTTGTGGCGTATCCCTGTACTCGCTACCAAGATCCAACCGCTTGTAAGCTCAATTAATAGAAATACCTTTACTATAAAGCCCTTTCTGTATCCCTGTACTCGCTACCAAGATCCAACTGCTTGTAAGCTCAATTACTACAAATTCCTTTACCATAAAGCCCTTCCTCCAAAGCCCTTTCTGTATACCTGTACTCGCTACCAAGATCCAACTGCTTGTAAGCTCAATTAATAGAAATTCCTTTACCATAAAGCCCTTTCTCCAAAGCCCTTTCTGTATCCCTGTATTCTCTACCAAGATCCAACTGCTTGTAAGCTCAATTAATAGAAATTCCTTTACCATAAAGCCCTTTCTCCAAAGCCCTTTCTGTATCCCTGTATTCTCTACCAAGATCCAACTGCTTGTAAGCTCAGTTACTAGAAATTCCTTTACCATAAAGCCCTTTCTAAAGCTCTTTCTCCAGAGATTTTCACCTATAGCTGCAGTGAAAATCTTAGGAGAAAAGGCTTTTTAGAAGCCCTTAGAAAAGCTTTGACTACATAGGTAAACACCTGGATGTTACAGAGCTGTGAATTTAACAGACTACAGAGTAAAAGCCTGGGCTGGAAACTGTTTTTTTTTTTTTTTTTTTTTTTTACACGGGGTTATCCCAACCGGCACACAGCACATCTCCACACCAAGGCCATCAGCAATAATTACCTGTGTGCGTCCTGAGGTGAGCCTTCAGGTGTGAGCTCTTGGTGTAGGTCTTCCCACAGCCGGCATAGCTGCACGTGTGGGTGGCCGTCCTCTTCCTCGGCCACGACCGCCGTCCCCGCTTGGGTTTGGAGTCCAGCAGCTCCAGAGGGGAGGAAGGAGGGGTGAGCATGCCCCGGGGAGCTGAGGGCTGTAAGGGCAGGCTGTCCTCGAAAAGGCCAAACTGGGAGGTGTTCTGGTACTGCAGGTGGGTCTGCGGGTGGTGGAAGCCGGAGGCCGGGTGGTAGCTCTGCTGGTAGGACACGGACGAGGGGCACATCATCTGCGTGTGGCACTCGCTCACCATGAGATCGTCGGGGCTCAGCGGGGGCGTCTCTGCCCCGGGGATCTGCGGGGAGCTGGCCACGCGGGGCTGCTCGTAGGCCATCATGCACGTCGCGTTGCCCTCCTGCTTGATCTTTGGGCAAGCCTGGGGCACCAGACCCAGCACCGGCCCATAATTGTCCATGTCGGGCTCGGGCTTAATGTTCTCAACGAACTGCGGGCCCCCGAAGGTGGGTGTCACGAAGAAGCGGCCGTGGACGCTGCCAGGGGGGCAATAGTTGGAGTCCATCTCGGAGCGCATCATCTCCGGCACGATGCCGGCGTTGTAGGGCGGGGGGCTGCCCTGCTCCAGGGCGTCGTAGCATCCCGGGGACGGGTTTGTCTGGTAAAAGCCACCGCTGTCGCCTTGGGCAGGGGGAAAATCCCCGCCGGCAGCGCCCTGGCCGTAGCCATCGCTGCCCATGGAAAGGATAAAATCCAGCACGTTGTTGAGATCCTCATCCTCTTTGCGCGGCGAGAGGCCGCCCCAGGTGCCGCCGGGGGTCTTGGCCTCCTGCTCACACTTCCACCTCTGGAGAGAGAGAGAAAAGGGACAGGGTTAGAGGCGCCGCTCGGCCGGGGGGACGCGGCGGGGACGGGCTCGGGGCGCGGGGCCGTCGGTGCCGCCGGGGACACTCACTTCGTGCAGGGCTTTCTCGCGGCACGGGCTGGCGAAGGTGGCGAAGGAGGGCAGGGCGGTGTCGCTCAGCGCCATGGTGCGGGACGAGCGCGGCCGGCCGCCCTCCGCACCTTATAACGCGGGCGCGGGCGGCCTCAGGCCAATTGCGAGGAGCGGAGGAAACGCGTCCCGGACGGGGCGGGCGGGAGGCAGCGGCTCGGGCGCAGCCTAAATTTAGCCCCGGTATAAAAGGACGCGGCGGCGGCGGCGGTCCCAGCCCGAGCGGGGCGGAGCGGAGCGGGGACGGGCCCCCTCCGCAGCCCTCCCCTCGCTGCGGGGCAGGGGCGGCCCGGGAGCCGCGACCCCCGGGTGGGACAGGGACCAGAGAGCCGCGACCCCCGGGTGGGACAGGGACTGGACAGCCGCGACCCCCGGGTGGGACAGGGCTGGAGAGCCGCGACCCCCGGGTGGGACAGGGACCAGAGAGCCGCGACCCCCGGGTGGGACAGGGCTGGAGAACCGCGACCCCCGGGTGGGACAGGGACCAGAGAGCCGCGACCCCCGGGTGGGACAGGGCTGGAGAACCGCGACCCCCGGGTGGGACAGGGCTGGAGAGCCGCGACCCCCGGGCAGGGCAAGGCTGGAGAGCCGCGACCCCCAGTTCAGGCAGGGCCAGAGAGCGGCGACCCCCGGTTGGGGCAGGGGGACACTGAGGGGTCTCTGTCACAAGTGAGCTTAGGGAACGCCAAGGGATCCCTGCTGCAGGGACCCTGTGCTGTGCTAAGAGACGCCGTGAGAGTCTTGGTGGGATAAGGGGACCCTGCACTGGAAACAGCGAGGGAGCATCTGTGACATGGGAGGACACTGACAGCTACGAGCTGCAACAAGGCTCTGCTGTGGGAAGGGGAGCGCTGAGGGGTCCTTGCCCTGGGGACACTGAGAATGACACCAAGAATTAGCGGTTTGATCCCCCCGCACCTCAGAGCAGCTGCCCCACAACCCAGCCTCATCCCTGGGGCATGTGGTGCAGCCAGAATGAGAAAAAGAAGGTGGGGGAAGAGTGGAAGGTGTCAGGAGAACACTGGGGGAGAGAGACATGCCCTGCTCCCATGGGTAAACTGAGCTGGTGATGGGGTCTCTTGACACTGGTCACCCTAAAAGGTCCCTGATGCACCTTGGTGCTGACAGAAAGGTGTTTGATGCCACTCTTGTACGGTCTTTGCTGGAGTTTTACATTTAATGGAAGTCCAGATCTGTAGCAGGATTTCCATTTGCTGCACGAATATTGCCAAAATCAGTGTTGCAATGTGACATTATGAGAGAAAGAATGCACGCAGCTTCTGTGATCTCCGCTGGTTGTAAGCAATTTATGGTCTTGGGGTTGATTTTTCAGAAGGGAACATTGTTCTTCTCCCTTACCTTGGCCTCTAGCTCAGATGCTGACTCTGAAGGAGCAATTCTCCTATAACTTCTGATAACGTGCTCTAGACTCCTGTTTCTGAGGATCGTGGCTGCTTGGCCACCATCCAGGAGCAAAAGCGACAGATCTGAAGGGGGGGAATCTATGATCTGTCAAGGGATAGACTGATTCTTTGTGAGCCTGTTCAAAGAAAGCTGTGCTTTCTCCTTTGCCCCTCCATATTTCCTTTGCAATCACTTTTAGAGGGGTTTCTAAGTGAGCTGGAAACCAGGAGGGTGCAGGAGAGCAGCTCTCAGGTTTAGGGGAAGGATCAATGCCCTTAATGGGCTCTGGTTCTCCCAAGCACTTTGAGCCTGTTCACCAGAGCCCGTCCCAGGCTTGTGGCTGTGTTTAAACCACCTCGGGAAAACTCAGTTGCTAGGGTGAGTAAATGATCGTTTCAATAGCCACACATGTTTTAAAACCAGGAATATCTCTTGTTTAACTTTCTATAGCTTTCATTCTCAAAAGTTCACAGGTTGGCCAGAAGGAGCAGCCAAACTTCTGTGACTGGAGCAGAATCAATACACTGAATGCATGGTAACGCTGTACACAAAGATGTGTGACTCATGGCTCTGTAATGTCACACTTGTGTAATCTTTCAATGTAAACTCTTTTCCTCTAATAAAACGTCCGTAAGTGAATGATACGTATATATGGGGCTGTGAGTCAGCCAAGAAAATATACTCTGATGAATTCAGAATGAATGTGAATACTCCCCTGATAACACACCCTGAATGTCTGTGTCAGTTCATGTGCTTGTGATTTCAGCAACAGCTATAACAAAATATTTTGTTTCTAGGATATACAACTGGACGTGTAGGTTTCACTGAGAAGCTCCAATTGGATTGCAGGAGACACTGCAAGGACTTTTGTTTATGGCTCCATCACCAAACTCTGCATTTTCTTTGTGCAAAGGAAAAGTTTCGTGGGCAGAGAGGATGAAAGCCAAGCACACAAAATAATAAATTCGCCGCCTTCAGTTTCTTTTTTGTTTTCAAGAAAAGCAGTTGGGCTAAAAATTGAGAGCTGCACTAAACCTGGGGAGACAAATGTGAGAATTTATTTACCTTGTGAGTCACCGGTTCTGCGCAAATTGAGAACAACTTTGCCATGACCTTCCACTCGCTCTGTGACAGTTGTGCTGACATTTTCTGGCTTTTTGCTGCTCACAACTCTTATTTTAAATACCTAAACGCAAAGATCCTGGCAGTGATCTCACTTAGCATAGATCAGGAGTGATGCCACTGGTGTATAAATGTGAAGAATGTGAGATTAGAAAGTATTTGTTAATCTTCTGTGGGTAGAGGAGAGCTAAATGATGTGTGATTTGTCTTCCAGCCAAAGTAAACACGGACTCAGCCATTTTTTATATGGCAAAGTTCATTTTCCTAGGTGTTGCTGCTGCTGTTGCTTTTAGATCAAGGAGAAACTTTTTGAGGAGTTGCAATCGAGATTTTGTATGTTAACAGAAGAACCCAAGCGAGGGCTGGGTGGGTTGGTGCAATACCCACTCACCTGGCAGCCCCAGCTCTGAGTCATTACAGAACTCAAGCAAACACAAAGCTCCTTCCTCAGGGATTGTTCTCAGAAAGTCCTGGTTGCACCCAGAGCAAACTAGCAAAAATAGTAATACCAGGGTAAACGAACCTGAAAATGACACCTCTTAGCACCTAGAGTACACAGCGCAGGTAACACCGTGACCAACCCCTTCATGTTGAAATAAGGCAGAGGATTTCCTTGCCTGCCTCTCAAATTGTCACAGTTCTGTTGATTATACTTTTTTTTTTTTCTATTTTAAACTGCAGTTTCTGAGTAGGCACATTTTAGAATCTGCTGTCAAGGAAGTTGATAAAATGATGTAAACAACCACATAAAATGAAATATACAGGTATCTGTCAGAGACACACATCTTAATTTGGCGAGAGTGATTTAATCCTGTACGTCTTTTGTCTGAATAAAGTAACATCATGAATTAATTGGAGAAAGGAGCCTTTTAGACCAGACCTTTCATGACTGGAGCTGATTTCCATGCAGGGACTGACAGATGAAGGTGAGCCATCTCTTTGATGAGCTGAAGTGGCTCATTAAGTATTTTAGGAAAAAGTATTTTCCTTTAATACTTTTTTTTTTCTTAGTGATTCTCCTCTGAGCTATTTCCACAGTCTTTCTTGAGGTTTGGGCACTGCAAAAGTGGAGTAGCAGACAAATATGAGTCACTTCTCTGTAAGGATTTGACTCGTGCCCTTTGTCATGATCTGCTGAGTCGCTGCTTGGCAAAGCCTCCTCTCCCCCAGCTCTGTGCCATGGAGGGACAGGACACAGGGGATGGCTCCCACTGTCAGAGGGATGGGATTTTGGGCAGGAATTGTTCCCTGGGAGGGTGGGGAGAGGCTGGGATGGAATTCCTGGATCAGCTGTGGCTGCCCCTGAATCCCTGGCAGTGCCCAAGGCCAGGCTGGAGCATGGAAGGTGTCCCTGCCATGCCAGGGGTGGCACTGGGTGTGATTTAATGTCCCTTCCAACCGAAACCATTCCATGATGCTCTCTCAGCTCCCCAGTCCTGGCCAGCACCACCCTCTGCACTCAGTGCTGGATCCCAGCCTTCCTGAGAAGGTTGAATTTATGAAAATGTGGAAGCAGAGCACACCTGGGATATGGGGGAAGAGTGGAGCAAAGCCCTGGGAGAGCTGGTGGGAATGCTGGTGGCAGGGCTGGGGAGCACCAAGAGGGAATTGGAACCACTGGGAGAAATGCAGGTGGTTTGGGGTTGCACAGGAAGGTAGAGGCTGTGAAAAATGCCATCAAACAAGATGTCTGAGAGCAGAGCAATTCTGGTGTCACAGGTTTTCTGAACAATTCTCTGTTGGCCTGTGTAGGAACCTGTTTTTGTCCACGCCAAAAAAGCAGGACATGTTCCGTTCCTAGAGCTGTGGCCTCCAGCTTCTCTGTATTGCCGTGAATGGGGTTTGTGTCCGCCTGGACACTTAAAATAATCCTTTAACAACGACATGCTCTTCAAATTAGGTTGCACTTCTGTGATCCTTGTCATCTAGGGCTTTACCAGAAACAATTTCTGTTTTCTTCCAGGTCATTGTTAACAACATTGAACGGTAAGTAATGATAAAAAAAAAAATCAAAAAGCAATAAACCTGCTTGATTAAAATCTAAATTCCATTTCCAGATGTGCTGGCCTGTGGTTGGACCAGTCTGCATGTGCACACCATGTCAATTTGTCCTTTCTTAGTGTGAAAATCACCCTGCACCAAGGCACGTACTTACTCACAACACCATCACAAACGTCATTAACCAAACCATCTTTATTTAGAATTCTTTTTATGTCTCAAGTCCTCCCTGTCTCTGCCCAGGTTTATGTAACACTGACAGGCATATCTAGGTCATTCTGTTTACCCTGTTGCAATATTGACATAATATTAACATTCTCCAAGTCACCTGGGGCTTCCCCACTGCTCTGAAATGAATTGATAATAAACATTAACCATCTGGAGATGTCCTTAGTTGGTTCTTTGGAAACACTCACTTCTAAATTACCCAGACCTGGCAACTTAATACTGTTTGAGATGAGTAGCAGTTGTTTTAACATCCTCCTTAGTTACTGTAATGGAAAGTATTTCAACATCATTATTGTCTGATCTCGATACAGCATCTGGCTTTTTCCCAAAGAGAGAACAGAAATATTTTTTAGC